AATTCCAGGAGACACACCTCTCTGGCCTGCACAGCCTGATTTCAGGTAAAAGCAGGGTCTCCCCAGGCTGACTGAAGTGTTGAAAAGTACTTCCAGACCTCCTAGGTGTCCAGGGACTCCAGGCTGGCAATTGGTGACCAAGTAAACAAAGTAAATCGGTAACTGGGAGCCATTTAAATAAGAACATTCCTAGATAAAGAAGGGAAAGAGAGAGAGAGAGAGAGAGAGAAATGTGCGGTGTCTTAGTTATCTAGTACCGCCAATAACAGGAATGCCAAAAGTGGATGTCATTAAACCAAAAACCAAACTGGTTGCCATGAAGTCGATTTCGACTCATAACGACCTTACAGGACAGAGCAAAAATGCCCCATAGGGTTGCCAAGGCTGTAACCTTTCTCCCACGGAACGGCTGGTGAGTTCGAACAATTGGCCTTTCGGTTAGCAGCCTAGCGTGTAACCACCGCACCACCAGGGCTCCTTAGGGTATCTTTAAAGAACAGAAATGTATCTTCTCACAGTTCAGAAGGCTAGAAGCCTGAATTCAGGGCATGGCTCTAAGGGGAGGTCCTTCCTTATCAGTAGCCCCATGAGTTCCTTGGCATTCCTTGGCATCTGTCTTCCCCGTGGGTCTGTCTATTCTGCTCTTTTTATAACTCATAAATGATTAGGTTTAGGAACGACCCTACTCTGGTATGGCTTCATTAATATAAAAGACAGACAGATAGCTTTTGTAATCTAGTAGCAACATCAGAAGCCACCTAGCTTCAAGAAGAGGGAATGAGAATTACCATCAGACTAAAGCTGATTCCTATGAGGTGGAGGTCACACATACCTTCACTCTCCAAACTTTTACCCAATTCTGACATGAGCTGTCCTCACGGCACTCTCTACTTCCCTGCTGGGTTTGATAATTTGTTGCAATGGCCACATAGAACTCACAGACCATTCTCATGATTATGTGGTTTATTAGGGAAGTAACAGTCTACAACTTGCGATCAGGATCAACTTGGAAGTTAACAGAAATAACTCAGGATACAGTTCATCAATCAGGACAGTTTCCAACCAGGACAGGTCTCAGCTCTTTCACGGCCATGCCAGCCGGCCGGCCATGGTTAGGCCTCTGCCACCAGGCCCTGCTCAGCCTGGCCTCTGCCCTGGTTGAGCAAGTGTTACAGCTCTTTAGCTCTGATGACACATGCCTGGGGGCACCCCACTGCACCAGCAAACCTCCTGCCCGAAGGTGCTCAGCTATCTCTCACTCTGTGGTCTGGCAAGCCCACCGCAGCCACCTGGCTCTGTGGATTGGGAAGCCCATTGTAGCTGTTTTGCGCCTGTCTCCTGATTCCCGCCATCTCATGCTGCTGCCGCTCATGCCACTGCTGTGCCATCTCTTGCCATCTTCAGTGTTACAGGTCTCTCTCCTGGGTCTAGGAGGTTTTCAGCGCAGGGACCCTGAGTCCAAGGGACACGATCTGCTCCAGGTTCTTCTTCTTAACGGTAATGAAATCCCCCCAACCTCTGTGAGATTGGCCCACCATGGCTGACCCTGCTGGTATTTGAAATACCAGTGGCATAGCTTCCAGCATCATAGCAACACATAGTCATCACAGTATGACAAACTGACAGATAAGTGGTGAAACGTAACAAAAGAAATCTCCTAATTCCCAGCAGGGTCACAATTACAGCTTCGGGGGTTAGGATTTAACACATATTTGGGGGCGGGGGGGGGGCACAATTCAATCCATAACATGAGACCAAAGAAAATAAGGCAGAAGAATTTCAAGGCTGTCTGAGGACAGAGTGCGCAGACTGAGGCGGCAGGGGTGAGATAGAGCAGAAAGTCACATAAGGTTCAGGCCTGAGCCAAAAAAAGGGCAGCGAAGATGTTGCTGAAGGTTTAAAAAAAAAAAAAGAAAAAGCTGCAATTGGGAGAGCTAGGAGGCCTCCAGTGAAGAAGGTGCTCATTTTCTCACGTAAGCACAGAAGGGAAGCCAAAATGGAGAGGTGGGAAGGCCTGCATTGTAGAAGAGGTGGTCCAAAATAGATAGGGGAGAGAGGGAACTGCAGACGGGAGCTGCTGAAGGGAAAGAGGGTTTTGTTAGGACCTGAGGCTTCTCCAAGGTCCCTGGGTGGCGCAAGTGGTTTACTAACCTAAAGCTACTAATCTAAAAGTTGGCGATTTGAACCCAACCAGCGGCTCCTCATAAGAAAGGCCCGACAAACTGCTTCCATAAAGATTACAGCCAAGAAAACCCTGTGGAGCAGTTCTGTTCTGTAACACGTGGTGGTGCCGTGAGTTGATGGCAGCAGGTTTGTTTTGCTTTGTTCCTGAGGTTTCTCCAGGTTGGGATGAAGTCACTACTCTTGCAGTCAGAGAGGTGTCAGAGTCTGTCTGTAAGGCAAGCAAAAATGATGTGAATGGAAGTTGAAATGGACGTAACAAATGAATAGCGTTTGTGCCCAATAACGCCTATAATCCCTTCTCTGCAATCCAGAGCCCCCAAACCTTAAGATTTTTGTAACTCATTTGACAGCAAAATCTGACCTGAACCGACATGAGGCTATTTAGAGTTTATCCCATTTAGCTGATTATTCACATACCTCACTGCATAAGCATGGACATGTTACCAGTTGCTGCTCCAGATCCTGTGGTAGGGTTCACAGTATACAGGATATGCACGATATTTCTTTTCTAAAGTCTGAAAGATTCTGAATTCCAAAGCAGATTTGGCTCTAAGGGACTGCAGATCTTTATTTTAATGAGGTGAGGAGGTATTCTCCATGGTAGGGAAGGAAGCTGTGTGCTGCCTTGGGCCTTGGCCAGAACAAGGAATCATCCCCATTTCCCTATTATGTTTCCCTCCAGGTCGTTCAGTCATGTGTATGCACACTTGGGGTTGGAGGAAGGGAGTGGGCTGAGGCAGTATAAGCCCCTTTCTTCCAGGTGGTTGAGGCCTGAAAAGGAAGCTGGGCAGGGAAGTCTCTTTAGGACAAGCTGGCTGTCTGTGGAGGTGAAACACAAGATGGGCTCTCTTTTCTCCCACCAACCAGTCCTCAACCAAACTAGAGAGAGAAAAATGCCAGTGAAATCAAGAATGCACACAAGGGGATTATGGGAAGATGGTGGTGTACACAGACCATCGTTCTAACCCTCCTCCACAAATACAACAAGGAAACGACGCTTAGCTTTGAGGGATTCTGAATCAGGGAGCAGAGGAAAGCAGCAGGGAACGGCAGATAGGCAGGAATCAATGAATCAGCAAGTCACATACAGTAGGAAAACAGCTTCTCCCACCAGCCATGAGACTACCAGCTGCTGTGAACTGGAGAAGTGGCCCCAGCAAAAGAGCCTTCTTCCTTAAGCCACCACACCCCCTGCCTGTACAGAGAGAAAGGATCCCAAGAAGGAGCTATCACAGAAAGGGAGAGGAAATGGTAAGCAAAGGCCAAAAGCTCTATCTGCCTAAGAGTTTTTCGCAGAAAGTAGCATAAGCAAAAACACCAAATACTGGGGAGAACTGAGAAAGTTAACACCCTTAAAAATTCCAATGCCCCAACAAAAAAAAAATCACAAGATGTACAAAGAAAAAAGAAATGATAGCCCATCTAAATGAGCATGATGGAGTGAACACACATCTAGGGAAGATGAATAATGAAAAAAAAGGGAAGAATATAATACAACATTAAATATAATTAAAGACTTAAGGGAAAACAGACAAAGAGCTAAAAGAAATAAGGAAAACAACGCAAGAACAAAATGAGGATCTAAAAAGAGAGATATTGCAACAATAACTAAATGAGCAACACAATAGGTCTTACCAACAGATTTACTAATCAGGCAGAAAAAAGACTCAGAGAATCAGAGAATAAGAGTCAAAATTACAGAAGCTGAAGAACAACGAGAACGGCAGCTCACAAAGGCTTAACACAGTTTAATGAAATTATGAGACAACAAGAGAGCAATTACATGCATCATGGGAATTCCAGGAGATGAACGAGAGAAAGGGACAGTAAGAATATTAGAAGAAATAATCACATAACTTTTCCCCAATCTGACAAAGGACATGATTCTACAAATCCAAGAAGCTCAAAGAACCCCAAGCAGGATAAACCCAAATAGATCTACACCACGATACATCACAGTTAGGCTCTCAACAATTAAAGAGAGAATCCTCAAAGCAGTGAGTGAGAAGCAAACAGTCACATACAAAGGAATGCCAACAGGATTAAATGCCGATTTCTCATCAGAAACATAGGGGGCCAGAAGGCAAAGAAATGATAAAGTTCTGAAAGAAAAGAAAAAAAAAAAACTGTCAATCAACAATACTATACTCAGCAAAACTGTCCTTCAAGGATGAAGGAGAAATTTAAACACTTCCAAAAAGAAGCTGAGAGAGTTCATATCCACCAGCCCAGCCCTTCAAAAAATACTGATGGGAGTTCTGCAGATGGAAGGGAAAAGACACTACTAGAAAGCAATTCAAAGCTATGCATAAAAAGAAAGACCTCTAATAAAGAAAACTGCATGGATAAGTGTTAAGAGTAAAACAAAAATAACTGTGCATGCTTCATTCCTATAGCAAACTTCTGTTAAGGGTCCACACAGCAGCTCGAGGGATCCCGTCCAGGAAGAAAACTGTCGTGTACTGCGACAAGAACAAGAAAAGTGGTCTCTGAGAGCAGTTAATAGGGGGTTGGACTTCACCCCAATGAAAGAATGAGCGAGGAGCAGAGGTTTGGGCCCTCTGCCAGGCCTACAGGGAGAGTTGCCGGGTGGGCGGGACTAAAGCAGGCTCTTCGCCGTGCTCCAGTAGTGGTTCTGAGAACGGACAGAAAGCCCTTTGCTCTCTCAGCCCTTTAGTCCACAAGCATCCGCAAGGACCAGCTTTCTAAAGGCGGAACTCGAAAAGCCAGTCCACCTTATGATTCCGCTCCGCGACGCTTCCGGCCAGCAGGGGCGGGGCTTCCGGCCGCTGGGAGCGGGCGTGTTCTGGAAGTGGCAGCGGCGCGGGGACTTCCGGGACTCGGACGGGGGCCGACTGGACCATGGCGGTGAATCTGAGCCGGAACGGGCCGGCGCTGCAGGAAGCCTACGGACGGGTGGTCGCTGAGAAGTCCCCGACCGACTGGTGGGCGCCAGGGCGGGGGTACCCGAGGGGCGAGGCAGGGAGAGGGCCGGGGCCGTCTGCTGCCCCAGGGGTCTGTCCGGGATGAGCCGGTGGGGTTGAGGCGCAAGGGAGGGAGGCTGGAGCTCCTAGCGCCGCTGCCGCAGGTGGTTTGAGGCTTACAGGTGCGCCCTGGCCCGCCCCCTACGCCTCAGCTGAGCTGCTGTCTCATCTTTCCTTATTCCTTGCCCGGTCGTGTGTGCACAGGTTAAACCCCGGCTTGGGGGGACCTGATGAATCACTGGGCGCGCCCCTCCTGCTCGCTCGCCAGCGTGTCTCGGTCTCTCGAAATTTCATATTGGATTCTTAGCGTGGCGGTGCTTGGTTCGCCTTTCCACCTGGAAACTTCCCTGGACAAACGAGCCGTCCACACCTCTCCCTGCGAAGGCGGAAAGTGCATCCGGTTTCTGTTCAGGGCTGGGCCTTGGGAAGCAGTCTGGCAGCCTGGTCAGGAATGTGAGCCTTCCCCTGGAAGCTCCAAAGAAGGAGGTAGGGGTCTTTCTATACTTGAGCCACAGAGAGATGACTGAAAGGAGGACGCTGCTTACTTACTTGGAAAAAGGTCCTGTCTTTCCCCATCTCCCCATGACATCCTCTTCTAGGCTTTCATGCAGTTGGTGGTGCTTTGCAGTATTGGAAGTCTGGAAATGAAGTTTGTGGTTTGTGTGCACTCATAGCTATGTATTGTAATTCTCTGCCACTTTTCCCATTTGGTTAAATTGTTTTCACTGACCTGTCTTTAGCACTTCCAGTTCTGAGAAATATGAGCATGGTGGGCTAAAGTGACCGGCCTTGGGGAGTAGAAACTGGGCCTTGGAAACCAGTTTGCGATGGGGCCACCCTGGTCAGTACGATGGTTGTTCTCATTTAGTCTGCCCGTTGTGCTAGTGTCTGTGGAGCCTCTTCCATCTTGCCCAGGGCCAGACCCTCTGGGCTGTGGCTCTGCTGCTGTGACAGGGCTCAAGGGCTTTTGCTTTCACATTTCTTATGCTCCCCTGTTTCCCAACACCGAGTGGCTTTAATAAATTGCACTGCTGTGACACCAGGAAGTCAAAGGCTTTCCTTTAGACCAGGCCATCCAAGGAAGAGCTTCAGAACACCAGCTGCCTGAGGCCTGCAGAGTTCCTGCTGAATCTCCTGTCAAGTCTGGGACCCTGCATCAGCATGGGCACCCTGGACAGCACTTGGGCAGAACTGTCTGGTAGCCGAACAGTGCATCCTCTGTTTGGAAAGCATCTTCTATTATAATTAGGGAAGGATATCTTGTAGCTACTTTGGTAGAGTTTCTCTGCCTTCTCTTCATAGTCCTTCTTAGGAAATCCACCCACCCATCATTCTATGTTCTTTCTCTCAGGAGAGTTCACCTGTTGTCCTGGCTCTCTCCTGCCCCTTGTGTGTGTATTTCAGAGGGCCCTTAGATGCCCCGCCTGGAACTCCAAACTCCATCAAAAGAATCTCCGCACTGAGTGTCCCGTTCTGACATCCACATGAGGGCCACCTGACTTTGGAACCTGGAGGCATCTTTGCCCCTCTCCAGTCCTGCCCAGTGATGGATATTGCTTTTGTAGATACTCTTGATTGTCCTGGTGTAGACTTGGGAGACTCCAAGGCCTTTTAATTGGTCTCCCAGTTTTCTTTTCATCCTTAGTCCTCTCAGGAACTGTCATGGTTTGGGGACGATGCTTCCCTCTTCAGGGCCTGTCCTGTTTTCTGCCTGTCTTAGTTATCTAGTGCTCCTATAACAGAAATACCATGGTAGATGGCTTTAACAAACAGAAATTTACTCTCTCACAGTGTAGGAGGCTAGAAGTACAAACTCAGGGTTCCAGCTCCAGGGGAAGGCTGTCTCTCTCTGTCAGCTCAAGGGAAGGCTCTCTCTCTCTTTCTCTGTCAGCTCAGGGGAAGGCTTTCTCTCTCTGTCAGCTCAGGGGAAAGGTCTTGGTCATCAGTCTTCCCCTGGTCTAGGAGCTTCTCAGCACAGGGAGCCTGAGTCCAAACGACGTGCTCTGCTCCTGGCACTTCTTTCTTGACGGTATGAGGTTCCTCTCTGCTTGCTTTCTTTTATATCAAAAGAGATTGACTCAAGATACAGCCTAATTCTGTAGATTGTGTCCTGCCTCATTAACATAACTGCCTCTAATCCTGCCTCATTAATATAAAAAGTAGTATTTACAATACATAGTATAATAACATTGGATCACAAAATGGGGGACAGTCACAATATTGGGAATCATGGCCTAGCCAAGCTGACGCACGTTTTGGGGGAACATAATTCATAACATTGCCTTTCCTTCGGCTTAATAGAGCTATGTGCCACAGCCCCTGCTCTGGAGCTTACCACCCCCATTTCCTCTCTTTCCCTCATTAGGTTGCTGAGCCTCTGCCCTCTCACCCAGCCAGAGCCCATACATCTCACAAGACTTCTCCTTTCTAAACTGCTGTGACCCTCCCACAGCACTTCTGGTTGTACCACTCAGTGGCATGAAACATCTGGGCCTCACGTCTTCTAGGCCGCTGTCAAACCTATCAAAATAACAACTCAGCAAATGCTGTGTGGCAGGTCCCCACTCACTAGCTGAAAATATACTTGGATCATGTCACTTCCCTGCTTACAGCTCTCCAGTGGCTTCCTGCTGCACTTTGGATAAAACCCAGCCTCCCCACCCAGCTGACAGGCCCTGCATGCTCCTGCCCACTTCTCCTGCCACCCTTCCTGTGTATACACAGGCCACACTAGCTTCTTCCTGTTCCTCAAACTTGCAAGCTTGTTCTGCCTCAGAGCCCTTGCTCTTGCTGTGTTCCCTACTGGGAGTACCCTTCTTCCACATTGCCCCAGGCAACTGACTCCCCAAACTTCAGTTCTCTGCTCCAAGGTTACTTTCTCAGAGGGGCCTTCCTTGACTCCTAACCACTTACTTCAAAGCACATATCTGTGCTGGAAACCTTCATTTGTTTCCTTGTTCTCTTCCCTAGAAAGGGTGGGATGGGCCTTGTCAGTGCTCCCGGTGTTCATGACTGTTCATGCTCAGATGAAGGGTAGACTGGGGGGTACAGGAAAGGTGCTAGAGAGTATCAGAGCTGGCACAGGTGGTCTCCAGCTTGGTGATACATAAAGGGTGTCCTGCACAGAGCAGGTGGCATTGGAATCAGCCCTGCAAGCCAGATGGGATGGTCTTGGGGCTGGTGAGACACAGGGGCAACCCCAACCTTCACTCTGCATCTTAGGTCTACTCTTGGTCTCACCCAGCTTGCCCTAAATCTTGGCGTGGTTGCTTGTCACTTGGTCACAGTACAGTAGTGTTTAGTTGTGTGTTTGTCTCTCCCGTTAGAAAGTAAGTTCCATGGCCAAGGCCTTTATGTGATTGTTTACTGCTGCATCCCCATCACCAGTAAGTGGTAGGCCCTCAGCCAGTGTTTGCAGGAGGCCTCACACTTCTTGCTGTACACAGGCCAGCACACCACTTTATTCCTGTTACTTTGAAAGAGAGGTGGAATGCAACTGAATATGGAAATGAGCCTCTGGCCTGGGAACATTCTTCTCGAACGTGGCTTGGACTGGTGCCCAGGGCAGTGGAGGAGGAAGCTGAAGGGTAATTGGAAGATGCAGAGCTTGGTTCTTATTAATTGCTTGATTCCTTCTGGTAAGACTGAATGGAGCTACCATCTTCTTTCTGGCCCCTGCTGCTGTGCCAGTGTTTGCATCTTCTAGCAGCCAGGGCCTGGAGGCCATCAAGAGGAAGGAGTTTCCTGTCTACAGAGAGGAGGGCTGTGTCTTCCCTCCCCCAGCTCTGGACTGCGGCCAGGCTGTACGCCCACCACCTCCCCCAGCTACTTTCTCCTTCTTTCTCTGGGGTCTCTTCTCTAGTCTCTGTTCTGCTTTCTCTCCTGGTGAGCAGTGGTCTATTTCCTGGCAGTCTGTCTGCTGGGCCTGGGTCTGATTTTTTCCTTCTTTCCCAGGTGTAGGCAGCACTGCCCAGTGGCATTGGCGAGGCCCTTGGTGAAGCCAGTGAGAAGCTGGTTTACTCCTGGGGCTTCCATTGGCCTCGGAGGCGGCAGACACTGGGCCAGGGTGGCTTTGGCCTCACTGTGGATGGGCGTCAATGCCTTACACGCTGTGGCCCACCACGCTGCAGAGCACTGAGGCTGGAGGGCTGGTGCTGAGGCCTTCAGGTCTGCTGCCAGGGACCCACTGTGGCTGGTCTCTTGAGGCCACCTTTTCCGGAATTGTTCTCTTTGAGTAACCTTTGTTCTGACCAGGGGACCATCCATGGCCCACATTTAATAACGTTCACTTTGTGCCTTCACACACCTCTGGAGCGCAAATTGATAAGCCTGAATGTTTTCCAGAATTCTTAGGAATAAATAAATAATCTTTAGAACAGTTGTGAACAGGAGAAAGACGAGGTCCAGTGTCACCAGTAGGGTTGTTAAGGCTCTGCTGGATGTCAGTCTTGTGTGACCTCTGAGCTGGCACCTGTCTTATGAGGGGTCAAGGCTGGATGGCGGTTCCTCTGGCCACGTATGACCTATGAAAGTCCGTGCTTGCTTGGCGAGCTGCAGCCCAGAAGGACCTGCCCCACCAGCCTTTCTGGTCTCAGAAGTGTAGGGCAGACATGCACGATCTGCAGCTTCCTGGTGCCTCGTGGGGGCTTCTCAGGTCTCCTCCTCCCGGGTGCTTTGGGTTCACAACCATGTAGGTGTCTTTTGTCTGTTCACATTTGCACACCTGTAGTCAGGTGAGCATTTTCAGAAGTTTTTTTATACTGTTTCACATATGAACGTGTTCAACATCGTCACAAAACATCACAGCTTGTTTTCCTCAGAGCAGGTTTACTCTGTGATTTTAGTGGGTTGGGTTTACCCCTCGCAGCGGGCCCAGGTGGTAGGTGGGGCCTGCGCTGTGCCGTTTGTGGGAAGGCCTCGTGGGTCGGGGCGCATCGCCTGCAGAGAGCCCACCTGCAGGTGAGCCCAGGACACAGTAGCATCACAGCAGTGGCGGGGTTCTTGGGGTGCATTGTGAAGGCGTGATAGATGCAGTGAGGGCAGATGGTGCCCAAGATGTTGGTTACAGAGCCCACTTGTGTTCTTTTCCAGGGCTCTTTTTACTTATGAAGGCAACAGCAATGACATCCGTGTGGCTGGCACCGGGGGTGAGTATGACCCAGTGAGGAAGCACATGTGCTCTCTGGTGGACCAGGAGACAGGAACAGAGGGAGGAGGGTGTGAGAGAGAGAGGGCTTATCTGAAGGGGAGGGAGACGTAACCTTCAGCCACCCATCTCCTTTGGCCACAGGGGAAGGGGACTTGGGGCCACGATGTCACCTGCATATGGTGTGATTGTACTGACACCTCCCCCAGTTGAGGGTGGCTACCCACACACCCCACCCACTCCCTCTCTCAGGTGTCATCGCCTGCTCTGGGCGTGAAGTCAGCCATGGTACCTGTAGGAAGCCCAGTCAGAACTGGGGAAGTGGCCCCCAGGCGTTTCCACCCCACTGAGCAGCCCAGGCCTCAGTCCTCCTGGTCACCTTTGGCCAGCTTCCTGCTTCAGAATGTCTCCACGTGAAAACAGTCTTACGTGGCGTTTTCAGCCTGGCAGTGCAGGCAGTGCCAGGCTCTTCAGGTTGGGAGAGCTGAGATGGGAATCAGGCCAGCCTCTCCAGCTCTTAGGCAGCCTGTGGCCAGGCCCACGCTGCAGTCCTAATCTGCGCTGCAGCTGGGAAGATGCCGGCCCCATGGAGCCAGGCTGCTGCAGGGCTGTGGGCCCATCTGAGGCTGCCTCATTTGCTCATGGGACAGTGAGGGCTGTGGCACCTGCAGAGGGGCCTCAGGCCCAGGAGAGGTGAGTGTGGGGCTGGTTCTGGCCAGCCCGGGTGCAGGCAGCGGGGGCCCTCGGGGAGTAGGGCCTGGTGAAGTCAGAGTTTGAGCTGCATTGTTGGGGGGCAGGGAGCCGGACTGGACAGGGAGTGCTGCTAGAGGTTGTGGAACCCACCCCCTTTCCTGGGACCTTGCCTGGCATCGTCTCATTTCCACCCTCGGTGTGCATCTCTCCAAGAAGAGCGTGCATGGCCCCTTGACAGGCAGGCCAGGCTTTCTTCGTTCTGAAAGTTGCCCTTTTATTTGTTTGTTGTGCCCAGTGCCAACTGCAGACTGTTTGCACAGGAATTTTGAGCCAGGGATCCCTCACCCTCGTTTCTTATCCTTGTGTGCTCAAAGCAGGGCTAGGTAGAAGAGGTGTGTCCAGGAGGAAGCAGCTGCAGTGGGGTGCCTGGGGCTGGCCTTGGCTCCCACTCTGCTCCGCAGCCCCTTGTCTTTCTACAAGATTATTGAGGCTGAAGAGCGAATCCCAGATCAGAAGGAATAAGAAGCAACAGAAGATCTCCTGTTACATGTGGTAGAGCCTGTGGGGACTCTGAGAGCAGGAAAGCCTCCATCAGGGGAGGCAGTGGTGGGAAGCACCATCTGCCCTCACTGCATCTGTCCCCTCTTGCTGGGGAGCCCGCGTCTCTGTGCTGATAATCAGGGCTTTTGTAGGAAGCCACCACGTCCTGACCCTGCCCTTGGGTGAGACGGTGTCTCCTCTCCCTTTGTTGCCTTAATCGAGAGCGTGGGTGAAGGCTTGGGACTGGCAGAGACGGCGCAGGACCTGGTCATCCCTGGCTGGGAAGCAGAGTTCACTTTGTTTTTAGTGTAAGGCCAAGAGCAAAAACAGAATGCCAGAGTTGACCTGCTTCCCATTCTGACAAGGACAGTGTCTTCCGGCTACTTCCTGTGGTCCCCAAGCTGTGGGACATGCAGACTGCCTCCCACTTAGACCACCAGTCAGAATCCACATTACAGTGAGACCCCATCTCTGCTCCAGAGTGGACTGTCCCTACCTTTCACCTCCCATTCCCCGGAAGCAACCCCGGCTCCGCCTATGAGCAACGGCCTGGCTGTTCCCAGGAGTTGGGTGTGCAGGTGGTGGGGGTAAGACAAGCCATGTTTACAGTCAGACTGTCCCATGTTCTTCTGCTTTTGAAGTTGAGGCTCACTGTCCATAGCTGAGATGGAGCCCAAGAAGCAGAGCCTGGCGAGGGGCAGACTACCCAAGCCCTAAGGAGAGCCAGTCTAACGAAGTCCTACGCTGCCTCCCAGTTCACTGGGGGCAGCCCTGCGGCCATCTGATCCCTCCCCTCCCCAGGAGGGTGGCAGGCACAGGCTGTAGGCTGGGGCCAAAGCCTGGCCACGCGTCTCCAAAGACCTCCCCTTCCTGTGTTGGTGAGGCAGCTACCTTGCTCAGGCCGCATTCTCTTTTGGATTGTGTCCTCACAGCATTGGCTGAGGGTGGATCAGAAGGGGCAGCAGAGATGCGGTCACCCCAGACCAGCTCCCCCTGTCGAAGGGACTTGTCTGTGGCCTCTGCCTCCTGGGCTCATGCCCCACCTGGCCTTCATAGCACCTCCCCACGTGCCGTTGTGCTCCTGCTCCTGGTCCTCCCCTTTCTAGCATGGCTTCCTAGCTGCCAGAGTCTCATGTGGTTTTCCTGGAAGGAATGCCCTGGGCTGATGGGGGTACAAGGAGGAGCCCCTATCCTCAGGTGCAGAGAGGCTCCCCACCTTGCCTTGTGGTAGAAGGGGATTCTTAGTGAGCCTTTGGAAACATTGGCCTCCAGGAGGAATGCCAGCCCCTGCCTTCCCCTCCGGCCTCCTCTCTTGCACTACCCACAACCAGCTCTGCCTGATTGGGTGGCCCTGCCTGACTGGGCCTGGCTTTTCTCTCTCAACGACTTATCTCCCTCGACTTATCTCCCTCGGCAGATGTTTACTGAGGCCTTTGCATGTCCTGGTGCTCTGCCAGAAGTGAGAACTAAGGTGTGGTCCTCGAGGGCCTGGCAGTCTAGTTGGGGCAAGGACATACCCGGAACAGACAGGGACCTTCCTGAAAGAGAGGGTGACCAGTGTTGGGGGAGAGGCTGCTACCGCAGCCCAGGTATTGGGGAGGTTTGAGGAGGCAGACTGCAGGGCCTGGCGGCCTGGAGTGGCAGCACGGGCAAACTCAGCTCAGAACCCTGGGCTGCTGTGAGGGGCAGCTAGTCCTGTGGCTGCACTGGGGGGCCAGCTGTTGGTGCAGTGGTTGGCATCTGATGGTCTCTTGGCCAGCACTGGGTAGATGCTAGGTGCAGGCCATGTGGGAGGCTGGACGAGGGATGATGGGAGATGCCGGGTGCATAAGCCCAGGGCCCTGCACTTGACCATCTGCCACACAAAGCCCCCTCGCCCCCAGCTGACACCCCTGACCACTCCCAGTGCTGGGGGCCACGGCTCTCGTTGGATCATGGCAACGGTAGAATTGAGGTAGAGACCCTCCTGTTGGAAGTCCAGTGGCTTATTTGTAGCAGAAATGATGCTTGTTTTTTATTTCCTATGTTACTTGTGAATTTAGTGAAGTGGTTTTTAAACTACTGTGTGTAAACACTCACCTGAGGCGCTTGTCATAAATGAGGACCCCTGGGTCCCACCCCAGCTCTAATAAATCAGTATAGTGGGGATGGGGCCCAAGGGTCCCCCAGGTGACACTGATGCCGGGGGTGGGTGAGAAGCCCTGGTTAGGGCTTGGCGCCTGCTCTGGTGGGTTAGGTGTTGGAGGGAGGGCACTGCCTCTGACCCATCCTTGTGCCCCTGTTGCAGAGGGGGGCCTGGAGGAGCTGGTGGAGGAGCTCAACAGCGGGAAGGTGATGTACGCCTTCTGTAGAGTGAAGGACCCCAACTCTGGCTTGCCCAAGTTTGTCCTCATCAACTGGGTATGTGGAACTGAGGGGAAGAGAGGGATTGCCATCTTTGCTCCCTGATTGGTCCCCCAAAAGGAAGTGTTGTCCAGAGGCAGCAAGGCTGAGGGGGCCTCACGTGAGGTGCCAGTAGCTCCGGGGAATGCCCACTTTCTTCTTTTACCTGTGGTAGTTGCAACCAAGGAGGGCTTGACTTCAGGAGCAGAATGTTTTCCTGACGGGCTCAGAGACCAACAGGACAGCCTGTTGCGGGTGAGCTAGCAGGACAGTCAGTTAATTCATTGTGGCCTGAAAGACATCTGTGGCCTTTGTAGCACAAAATCCATACTCCAAGCCCAGAATTATTTCCTGTGAATGGAGCAAAAATAATCCCAGAACTCCCTTCAGGAGAGTCGGTCTGAGGTAGTAGAGGGCCCGATAGAAGTGCTGAGAACGTCTGGGAGCCTTCTGCAGGCCACTGGTTCTGCGGGATTGGGGGCCACTTTGTAACAGGACAGAGCCCCCAAATTGGGCACTAGAGCAGTTCAGAGGGGACTCCCCACAATGGAAGCCAGTGGCCAGCCATGATGCCAGGAGACATAGGGACCTGCCACATCTGCCTAGCTCCGTTGGGAGTGTGTCTTCTTTGGAACTTGCGGTTTTCTTTTGGGGCACAGGGAAGCTGCTGAGACCCCGGGGTGGTGGTGGCCTTGGGCAGCAGGCCCAGGTCACAGCTGGGAACTGCAGGGTGGAGCTGGGTGTGCTTGTGTTGCAGACAGGCGAGGGCGTGAACGACGTGCGGAAGGGGGCGTGCGCCAATCACGTCAGCGCCATGGCCAGCTTCCTGAAGGTGAAATGGGCTGCGGGCAGGTGGGAGCGGGAACCCTGGTGGAGTGTGCCAGAGGCTGCCCCCTTGGGCCAGCAGGTCGGGGTGGCCGGGCTCTGAACAGAGATGCCCACAGGCTGGCCCCCATGGCAGGAAGAGGGACATGCCCTGGTCCTTCTGACTGCAGGGAGCCGTGGCTGGGCTGGAGCACCCGTTCTGGGTTCTCCAGAGCCACTGAGCAGTAGTGTCAGGAATTTGGAGGAGGAGGCAGCTGCCTATGCCCACTACCCTATCGCACATATTCCATTTTACACGTTCTTTTCTAGCTCATGTCTGCTTGTATTTCTATCATCGTAGTATAATCACGTTTTTTATTCTTTTTAATTTTAAAAAAACATCTGTATCAAAAGTATATGTTGTTCACTTGTCAGGTGAGTTTTTGCTTTTGGTGGTTACTAGCAAGCAGATTCCGGCCTCAGACCTGTGGCTTTGCCAGTCCTTTTTAAGTTATGCCTCAGTTTTCAGTCTAGAACGTGGGCAAGGGTCCCAGGCTCAGTGGGCGTGTAGGAAAGCAGAGTGCAATCATGGGCTTGCTTTCTGTGGAGAACGTACTTGTTCCCAGATGCCACTGAAAGTCACTCAGTGTAGGGCCAGTGGCCTCAGGGCAGCACACCTGGCATTGTGGGGGTGGGCCCTTAGCTGTGGCTTGAGAGGGGTGAGGTGTTTGCTCAAATCGGGCTGTCCAAGCTCCCGAGATTCATTGCCTTGTTCCTGGGAGCCAGACGGGCAGCTCGTGTGCGTGTGGGGAGTGGAGGAGGTGCTCCTGCCTGCTGGGCGCTGAGCGACGCGGCGTCACTAAGGACCTTCCTCTCTGGGTCGGGCATCTCCCTCTCACGTGCTGCCCCACCCATCTGCAGGGAGCCCACGTGACCATCAACGCCCGGGCGGAGGAGGACGTGGAGCCTGAGTCCATCATTCAGAAGGTGGCCAAGGCTTCGGGGGCAAACTACAGCTTCCACAAGGAGAGTAGCCGCTTCCAGGACACAGGACCCCAAGCCCCTGTGGTGAGTGCCACCCCCACCGCCCACCCTTGCTGCTCAGAGCCCCAAGGAGGCAGCCGGGAGTGTGCAGTACCTGCACCTTGCCTGGCATCCAGTCGTTGGCCAGCGTCATGTGGCAAAGGCTATGGAGGGCTCCTGCCCAGCGCTTGCCAGGCCCTTGTGGTCGTGAGGCAGTGCCACGCTTAGGAGTGAGCAGAAACCCTGCCTCCCAGGGGAGTGGACTCTGGGGCCTGCGGCGCAGCGGCCTGCCCGATCGGTTGACCACGGCTGTGGGTGTTTTGGAGGTTCCCTATGGGGTCACATGCCCGTGGCAGTGGCCCTCGGGCCCCCCACAGCAGCTGCTGTGGCTGAACTTTAGGTGGTCAGGGCACAGCCTGAAGCAGCACCAGGAGCCCCACAACCATCATGTGGGAGGGACAGCCCACAGGTGTGTCAGCCTAACGCCGGGCAGGACCAACAGCCAAGAGCTGAACTCTCCTCCATCTGTGGCACACACTGTGGATCCCTGGCTGTTCCCATGGATGCTGCTGCTGTGTCTCAGAGTCCTCCCCACGAGGACTCGTGTTGTCAGGCTGAGCCGTCCCTGCTGAGGCAGGTTTCAGGCCTCCGCCAGAACGTTACCCTCCTTACTGTCTCTCACCAGGCCCCATCCTCACAGCCCTCACCATGATCCTGGGGTCTGTGGGCCCAGCCTCCCCCCGGGGCCTGGGTCTCTAAGGGGGTGCTCTGCCCCTGCAGGGCTCTGTGTACCAGAAGACCAATGCCATGTCTGAGATCAGGATGGTTGGCAAAGACAGCTTCTGGGCCAAAGCAGAGGTGAGCCTATCTGGGGTCTGACCGAAGAGCCAACATTTACTGAGCATGTGTTGTGTGCCAGGCGGGAAACAGGTGTTTGGCTTGCCGTATTTCACTTTTTCTCATTTATTCTATAAGCTCATGGAGCAAGTGTTTTCATTAGCTCCTATTTACAGACGTGCAAACTGAGGCTTAGATGGGTTAACAAAGCTAGTGGTACACGTCTGCCGTGGAGCTACCTCAGATCTGGAATGAGTTATGTGGTTACAGAAAGAATGCCTTGTTGAACCTGGTCCTGTGCAGAATTGGGGGAGTAGGGCGTAGCGGCCGCATGGTGGGGTGTCATGCCCAGGGCTGAGCTGGCTGTGGGCAGCACGGCTTTCCCCGCAGAAGGATGAGGAGAACCGCAGGCTGGAGGAGAAGCAGCGGGCAGAGGAGGAGCGTCAGCGGCTGGAGGAGGAACGCCAGGAGCGGGAGCGGCGTGAGGCTGCCCGCCGCGAGCAGTGCTATCAGGAGCAGGACCACGAGTCCAGCCTCCGGAGGTGAGCCCTGCCCTGCTACTCCTGGGGGTCTCGGGCTGCTGGTGGGAAGGAAGCACCTGCCTGCCCGGGCCACGCCCCTGCCCCCATCGGCGTGCCTCTAAGTGAGCACTAGCCGGGCTTGGGACCCCACTTCCTGTTAGTGTCCCTCACCTGGCAGCACCTGCTCTGAGCACCCACACAGGGTGAGGAGGCAGATCATGAGTGGACTCTTCTCTGCCTTTCCCAACAGGAAGCCTGAACAGCAGCAAGAAGTAGTTTCAGGGACAGGGGCGGACCAGGTAAGACGTGGACGCTCCTGCGGCTACTGAGCCCCGGCCCCAGGCCCGGCCCCAGTCCCAGTGACAGACTTAGAACCCTGGCCTCGGGCAGAGGCCTTGTCCTGCATCCTGGCAGAGGCCACCTGCAGCGAGCTGTGACTGCCACGAGCTTTTCCTCCCAGCTGAGCGGTCCCATGGAGGCAGGGAGTTTAGGATTGTGGAACCGGCTTGGGCAGATTTGAACTTGGGACATATCTAGGGGTCAGGGAGGTAACGGTGCTCTGGTATTGACCTCAGCCAGGTCCCGGAAGCACTCTTGGGGAGCCAGGCAGGCTGGGGGCTTGCGGGGCTGTGGGGGCGGGAAGTTTCCCAGGCCCTGAATACTGCCTGGTCAGTTTACGTTCCTCCCCAGCAGTCGGCCTGTCAGCAGCCCATGCACCCACGGGACATCTTCAGGCAGAAGGAGAGGGCCATGTCCACCACCTCCATCCCCAGCCCCCAGCCAGGTGAGACCAACAAGCCTAGCCACTAAGCAAGGGACGAGGGGGGTGTGGGTGCCAGGACTGCTCACCACCATCCCAGTGCAGGGACCCACTTTGAGCCCTCTGTTAAGGGCCTGAGTATCTCAGGGGAGCGAGGAGGGTAAGGAAGGAGGAGTGCCTGTGGTGAGGGCAGCTCTGGGATGGGAGCCCGGGCCCTGTGGAGACCAGGAGACACTGCACGCTGCACTGCCCTTGGCCTTGTCCTCCACACACTCTGGGAGAGGAGGGCCATGTGCTGTCTCCAGAGCGGAGACTTCCCAGCCTCAGCCCCTTAAATCCCTGGCCCAGCTCCCAGAGGGGATAGGTCAGCTGGGTCCCAGGGCTGGTCTTAGTCACCACTGGGGCCCCGGAGGACACAGGACTGCTGTTGCTGGCCAGCCATGCTGCCCCTGGGTCTCTATTCCCCACCCTTCGTCTCTGCCCCGAGTCTCTGCGTAGCCTAGGCAGGGGGTGCCATAGGCCCTCTGGGCTAGCCAGGGTTGGACCTTGTGGATGGCTGTGAGCATTCCGTATATGTACACCGGCTTGCTCCTGAAGCTGCTGCCTGTCGCGGGCTTGACGGGTACATCCCATCGGCTCCTGTGTGACACCCACCATATCCCATGACGGGTGGTCTTCGGGCAGTCAGGTATAGAGAAGAGCGGAGATTCTCCCCCGGCTCCCTCTCCAGGCTGCCTGACGCCTCGTGTGTTGTGTTCACCTGTCGGTTTTCAGGCAGACTGAGGAGCCCCTTCCTGCAGAAGCAGCTCACCCAGCCGGAGACCCCTGTCACCAGGGAGCCCGTTCCTGCCTCCTTGAGGCCCAGCACAGGCAAGGCTTTGCCATTCCGGGGCCCTTGAGGCGGGCAGTAGCAAAGAACACCTCTTGCAAACACCTCCAGGTGGGAGAGGACGGTGGACCGAGTCTGAGCAGGCTGTGCCCTCTGCTTCAGATTTCCTCGAGGACCCAGAGCCCATTGTCCCTCAGTCTCCAGTGCAGGTGGAAGGGGAGGCCGTCTGCAAGGAGCCCCTGGAGGAGGAGAATCTCTACGAGGAGCCCCCACTGGTTGGTTCCCTGTGGGGGGTAGGGAGTGGGGAGGGCCCTTGGCCACACTTACCACGGAACGCCTGACTTCTGCAGCCCATGTGTGGATTCTCTGTTTTCTGAAACAGTCCTATGGTAGGGTTGTCTGGGCAGGCTCTACTGTGTGGGAGACAGTGGGGAGGGAACCACGGCCAACCTTGCAAGCTGTCCTTTGGCTGTGGTGTCTTGGGGTGGACTCAGTGGCTGTAGGGGTGGGGTGGGGCATGCAGCAGCCCCCAAGCCCCACAGAGCTGCCCTTGCTCTGGTGCTATGCTTTCCTCCCTGCCTTCACCCCAGTGATGGTCCTGCTCTTCTTTCCCGTCCCTGGTCAGGTACAGCAAGAAGATGCTGCTTCTGAGCACAGCATCTGCTACAAGCAGGGGACAGGGCTGCTTGGGAAGGGACTTTGTGCCCGGGCCCTGTATGACTACCAGGCAGGTATGGTGCCCGTGCCCATCTGCTTAGACCACAGGGTGACAGTTAGAGGTCAGGAGATGAGAGGATTCTTGGGGCTCCATCGGGGGACAGCACCCAGGGAGTGGGGGAGGAGGGTTGAAGGGAGCCAGCCACACTCTTCCCCACCGGTGCTGCTCGGGAGAACTCCTGTTGTGGGGCCCGGGGACTGGCCAAAGGAGTGGGCCAGGCCATCCCTAGTGGAGGCCTCAGGAGGAGGCTGAGGCCTGGGGAGCAGGACGGCCTTAGGCCTTTTGTGTGGGGCCTGGAGAAGCGTCCTAGCAGGGATGGGGGTGGGGGGGTGGGTGTCCTGCAGAGGGAGAATAGGGTGCAGGCTGAGCAGTGGCATTAGCGGCCTGGTGGACGGGCCCACCGCAGCAGCTGTGCTCGCCGTCTCCTTGCAGCTGACGACACAGAGATCTCCTTTGACCCCGAGAACCTCATCACGGGAATTGAGGTGATCGATGAGGGCTGGTGGCGCGGCTACGGGCCAGACGGCCACTTCGGCATGTTTCCTGCTAACTATGTGGAGCTCATCGAGTGAGGATAGGCTGTGCCTGAGGCCCTGTCCTTCCCTCCTCACTGGGACACAGCCTTCGTATTCTGGAGGAGGTGGCATGAGAGCTGCGTGTCACTCTCCCAGGAACAAGACCCCCTGGATGAGGATGAGGCCTCAGGACCCCCACTTGCAGCAATAACCTGGTGATTCCCAAACATGCTTCCAGCTGGACATTGAGCCGTACCTGTGGCCAGTCCTCGGTGACCTCTGCCTGAGGAGAACCATGGGAGGGGGCATCAGAGGTCACCCCCACACCCCAGGCTGCTGCCTGCCTTTCCATGCAGGGAGCTGACCAGGGGCAGCTGCCCTTTTTCCTTCTTGCTTCTAAGGGTGCGACTTTCAGGTGCAGTGAGCTTAGACAACTGTGCTTAGCAGCATTTATGACCAAAGTCAGACTGGACCTGGGTGACTTTGAGGGCAAGGAGAGGGTCTCTGGAGCTGGCTCAGTGGCCCTTAGCCTGGAGGGGGTGGGGGGTGGAGAGTGAAGGGAGGTATAAGAGCGTCACAACCACAGCACATGCCTCAGTGGGACCAGCTCTTCCTGTGTGCCAGCCATGTGCGCCTCTCGGCCAACTCCAGCTGCTTCTTCAAAGTTCTTGTTTTAGGAAAAGTAACAAGAAAATGGCTCATGCCTGCTACTGCCTCCTGTTTTCCGCCCCAGCCAATCTGTGTCTCTGGAGAACAAATCTGCTTTGGGGCTAAGGATGGCCAGTGTGGTCCACACAGGCCCCCAGCTCTCATTTGCCCTCTTGTTGCTTGAACACGCCCATAGGGAGACACACCCCTTTTCCTGGGTGACGTGCTGTGCTTTGTGCCAAGAGTGCATGTGTGTGCGTGTGCACGCAGGCCCCCGAGGCCCCCTGAGGTCAGTGATTAGCAGCCCGGGTGACTTAGGGTTGAGCCCTGTGCCCTTTGTTCTGCTTCTCTGGGAGAGGCCGTGGGCCTCCATTTCCCCTGCCATGAGACGCCTCCCCAGAGGACTGGCAGAGTGTCTGGCCACACTGGATGGAGGTGTAGAACCTTCCTGGTCCCTGTGCACACAGGCCCCCAGAGAAGCTGCAGTCCCCTTTGCTACCATGTCCCACTCCTGTGGGAAGGGCAGGGCCGAGCCCAGCTACAGAGGCCTCTGAATCAGATGGTGCTGGCGCTGATGGGCTGGCTGACCCCCAGGTACATCTGGGCCTGCCCTTGCCTGCCCAGCCCCACCCTGGAGGTAGGGCTCTGCCACCACACCTGCCCACCCCGTGTGCTGGGCTGCCCCGAGGCCGCCTTCAACCCGCCCTCTGAAGAGAACTGACCTGGAATTGTGACCCCTGGGTAGGGAGTGATGGGTCCACAGCACGTCCAGAACCCATGGTCCTGGCTGGCCATGGAGAGGGCTGGGACTCTTGGATCCTCACACTTAAGTGACCCCCCCATTCTAATTCCTTGAGTTTTGGGGTACATATAGGTCACCTTAGGGGATGTTACAAATGGAGATTCCTGGGTACACAGCAGGCTGGTCTCTGTGGTGGGCATGCTCCCTGGGTGTCCCTGGTAAGCTGGGCTTGAGAGGGTCCCCACACCTATGACAGGTGGTAGGGCGGGTAGCAGGTGAGTGGATTCAGAGCCGAGTAAGGGTAGGCGCCTTTATTGCCCAGAGCCCACCCCTCACTTGGCCTTCACCTTGCCCTGGGCTGCCACATCTTCCATGGCCTTCCGGACAGTCTTCTCATCACCTAGGAACTGCATGGGCTTGGTGGGCTTCAGTGCCCCATCCAGCTCGTACACGATGGGGATCCCCGTGGGCAGGTTCAGCTCCATGATGGCCTGGTCAGACATCCCTGGGGCCGGGGACAGGCGGCCTTAGCCCCCCTCAGTTCCCCAACCGTGTGGCCCTGCTGCGCTGTGTCAGGCAGAGGCTCCTTGGCCTTTATGGCAGCAGAGTCTGACACCATCCCTTCCCCCTCCCACCGGAATGTGCCTCAAGAAGGTCAACAACCTGGGTGCTCCACCACAGAGCAGCCCACAGAAATAGCACTGCTGCCACACATCTCTGGCCAGGCTGGGGCTTATGCTCAGAAGGGCATTAGCCAGTAGGTTTCTAGACATTCTGAGCAGTGGAGCAGATGACCAAGTGGTAGGGGACAGTGAGAAGGGGTGGAGCAGATGACAGGGCAATGGGGGACAGTGAGAAGGGATGGAGCAGATGACAGGGCAATGGGGGACTGAGAAGGGGTGGGAGGGAGGCCACTGGAAAGTGCAGTGTCTGGAACCCAACCCCACCCTGCCTTGGGCAGTCCTGGTGCCTGGAGTAGCAGCTCGACATTTGGCATTCAGTCACCCCACACTCCTCCCCAAGAGAGGGTCCAGGAGAATATTCCCTGGGGAGTGGGAGGTACAGGCACCTCTCCTCCGACCGCTCGTCCAGTGATACCTCTGTGACCTACCCTCAGACCTAGGCCTGTAGGGCTGTGTGAAGCCCTCAAGGGGAGGTGACAGGAGGTGGCCATTTCCCACACCTCGGGTCCGATGTCAGGTGTGAGGAGATGCACAAAAGCCTTCATTTCATCATGGGCCAGCCGGCCCAGAGCCAGTGAAGGGCCTCCCGAGGGAAGTCCCCCCCCCCATGCTAATTCAGACCGTCCTAGTGTCTGTGAAGATCCTAAAGACCCACGTAACTTTCTGAAGTGGAATTCCAAGGAGAAAGTTGTTCTGGGAGCACGCTCTTCCCCTACACTGCCACAGTCAGTCAGTCTGTCAGCCAGGAGACCTGCCTACGTGCAAGAGCCTCAAGAACACCATCGCCAGGGCCCTGCCACCCCGGAACGAGGCGGGCTGGGGGAGCAGAGCTACATGCTGAGCGTCAGGCTGCACTGTGCCTCCTGCATCCTTTTGCCAGGAGTGGACTTGGGTGTGGGGGGAGGGGTAGTGGGGCGGGAGCTGGTGTCCCAGAACTGGGCAGGCCCTGCAGTGGGCTGGAAGGGAGGTGAGCCTGACCCTACATTGCAAGTGGCTCCCAGGAAGGAGCCCCATGAGCCCAGTGCCTCCAGAACAGGGAGTTGAAGCCTAGCAAGTGATGTGACTTGTTCAGGATCACACAGTAAACCAGAATTTGGAGCCAGATGATTTAAGTCCAGCCCAGCCTTTTCCTGGCGGTGCATCCATGGGCAAGAAGCTGCCCTCTGGGTTTTCCTATCCCACCCATTTGTAACTGGGACTGTGCCCAGGCCCACGCAGACGTGGCCCTGAGTCGGTGGTGTGCAAACTTTTTTTACCACAATCTTCAGAAAGAAACTGTCCCGGTACATACACATAGAGAACAGAAGTTTCACAAACTGTTTTTCAAATGATTTCTCAGCCCTCCAATAGCCCAGAACCCACAACTTGAAAGCTCCACCCTTGGAGCGTGCAGGGGGACCCGTGGCTTCCCACCTCTGCCCGCACCCCGGGGTAGGAGCAGGTGAGCCTCACCTTCCAGGTGCTTGACGATGCCCCTCAGGCTGTTGCCATGGGCAGCGATGAGCACCCGCTTGCCGGCCTTGATCTGGGGGACGATCTCCTCGTTCCAGAAGGGCAGGGCCCGGGCGATGGTGTCCTTAAGGCTCTCACAGGTGGGCAGCTCTCCGGGTTTCAGGCCTGCGTACCGACGTTCCTGGGGGTGGCACGGCCGTCATTTCTGCCTCCAGACAACCCCCCCCCCCACACACACACACACACTTGCCTCCACCGGAGGCCTGGCCTGTGCAGCCCACCTTGCTGATGATGGTATAGTAGGGGTGCTTCTCGTCCATGGGAGGCGGCGGGATGTCAAAGGAGCGCCTCCAGATCTTCACCTGCTCCTCCCCATGCTTGGCGGCTGTCTCCGCCTTGTTGAGGCCCGTGAGGCCGCCATAGTGCCGCTCGTTGAGGCGCCAGGTGCGGACCACGGGCAGCCACATCTGGTCGGTGATGTCCAGGATGGTCCAGAGTGTGTGGATGGCCCGCTTGAGAACCGACGTGTAGCATATGTCGAACTCCATCTTGGCATCCTTGATGGCCTGGGCCCCCTGCTTGGCCTCCTCAACTCCTTTACCACTCAGCTCCGCATCGAACCAGCCACAGAAGCGGTTCTCCTGGTTCCATGTGCTCTCTCCATGACGCACGATTACCAGGCGGTGGGTGGACATGGTGGCAGTGTGTTTGGGACCCCAGATGGGAGGGCAGGCCTGTGGCAGGCTGTGGCTCGGAGCTCCAGAGGAGGGCGGCTGCCGCCCCAGCTCCCACAGCTTTATAACAGTCTGTCCCCACCCCCACCCACACCAACTGCCAGTCAGCATTCCAGGCTCAGGACAGGCGGCGGCAGGTGGCCAGTGGTAGGGTTGCAGGGGAGGGCAGACTGGAGGAGCTGGCCCTAAAATAGACCCTCCAGGCCACCAGCACACCCCGCCCCCCACGTCCAAAATCAGCTGCAGCCAAAGACAAGAACGTTCCCAATACATTGTGTGAATTACCAAACAATACAGTTTCTGCCTGAAAGGGCAGAGGCAGGGCTGGGGGCCAGCAGACAGGCTGCGCTGTAAGACCAGCTGAGAGGTGACAGCTAGAGAACCAGAAGCATAGACAATCCACCCCTTTCTGCTAGGCACTGTCAACTAAGCTGGGCATGAGCCTGCATTTTAGGAAGGAAGCTGGCCCTGTGTCAAGGGAAGCTGAAAGTGTGGGTCTGTGGTTGAGTGTGTGTGGCATGTGTGTGAAGAGGTCTGTGTATGTATGTGTGTGAGTGGGTGTGTGGGTATGGGTTTTGGGATGTGTATTGGTAGGTTGTGTGTGTGTTGGTGTGGGTGTGAGTGGGTGGGTAATGTATTGGTGGGGGTGAGTGTGCACATGGGTGTGTTGGTGTGTGTATATGTGCATGGGGGGTGTTAGTGTATGAGTACATGTGTGGGGGTGTGTTGGTGTGTGTGTGAGTACATGTGGGGGGTAGTTTAGGGGGTGTGTATTTGTATGTGTGAGTACGTGTGTGGGTATGCATAAGAGTGTGTTCAACTTTGGGGAAGATACAACTTCTTGGTCGGGAGGTACCCCAGTGGCTTTGCTCACTCAGCAGCGAGGGCTACACTTTGTGCTGGGGGAGCTCCTCAGGCTTCCTGCCTCTCCTCCCTGTCACACCCTACCCCAGGCCTGGCATTGAGAGGTTGACCTGGGTTGAGAGGTTGACCTGGGTTGAGAGGTCACCTCCATTAGCCCCAAGGGACACAGGGAGGTAAGGGCTGGAGAGATATGGCACCCTCAGGGCTCACAGCTGGTGCCAGCAGAGTGAGGAGCAGGTGCTGGGCCTTAGCCCTGGGCACAGGAGAAAGGTCAGGGTTCACAGGGGAGGGCACTAAGGCAGCAGAGTGGGGAAGGGGGCCGGGCAGGCTGAGCCTGGTGGATTCCAGGCATGAAAGGGACCAGGGGTCTGGTATGGGGCAGTCCTGGCACTGCAGCCAGACACTGTCTCCTTTCCTTCCCTCTCCTGGGTTCCCTCTGTCTTGTCTACACCTGCCCCACCCTCCCCTCCCCTGCCCTTGCTTAAGGCAGCCTCACCATGCCTGGCCAAAATGCCGTTCTGTGTCCTGCCCTTTAGCAAAAGGTTTAAGTGGCCTATCTCTACTTTAAAGGAAGTCAAATATTCATGCACCAAGGGCCCCTCCAGCCTGCTGGGGAGGACCTAGAGGATTATTGACTATTGGGTGCTTGCTCAGCTTAGCCAAGAGGGCCAAAGATAGGCTGGGTTGTGGGGGAGGGCGCTGTGGGCAGGGGTCATAGCTGAGGAGATCAAAATGCAAAGTCGATAGCTGCTGGGCTCCCCTGAATGCCATCCTGGGCTCCCTCTCCCCCAGTCATCCCACAGCCTTGAAAGTGAGAGCCACCCCCTCCCTTCTGGGTATAGAAAGACTCCCCACCCTGGGCCAAGGGCCTGGAGGCTCTGCACCCCTAAGTTCAGCACAGGGTCTTGGCAGACAGGGGAAGACACCCAGGATGGCAGGTGGGGCCTACCCCTGCTAGCAGTGCTAGCAGCAGGTTTTGGTCCTTCTCCAAATCCTCCACAGCTCACACTGAGCCTGGCCACTCAGCCCTGTCTTATCCTAATTGAAGCCCCATTTTCTGTCCTCATGCTCTACTTTTTGTCCCTTTGACCACTAGCCCAACGAAACTCAATTGCAGACCTGCAACAACAGTGCCAGGCACTGGGAGATGACCTGGGGTTCAAGCAGGGAGCAAGAACGTGAAGCCTACATTCTAGGGAGACTGTCATGGATTGAATTGTGTCCCCCAAAAATATCTGTCAACTTGGCTGGGTCATGATTCCCAGGATTGTATAATTGTGTACCATTTTGTAATCTGATGTGATTTCCTTATGTGTTGTAAATTCAATAACTATGATCTAATAAGATGGATTAGCAGCAGTTATACTGATGAGGTATATAAGATTGGATAGTGTCTTAAGCCAATCTCTTCTGAAATATAAAAGAGAGAAACGAGCAGAGACACATGGGACCCTCATACCACCAAGAAAGCAGTGCTGGGAGCAGAGTGCGTCCTTTGGACCTGAGGTTCCTGTGCAGAGAAGCTCCCAGGCCAAGCGAAGACTGATGACATGGACCTTCCTCCAGAGCTGACGGAGAAAGCATTCCCCTGGAGCCGAAGCTCTGAATTTGGACTTGTAGCCTACTGGACTGTGAGAGAATAAAACTTTTCTTTGTTGAAGCCATCCTCTTGTGGTACTTCTGTTATAGCAGCACTAGGTGACTAAGACAGAAACCAAAGAGAAAAAGCAAACAAACCCATTCAAGACTGTATGAAGTACTAGGAAGAAAACAAAATCGTGGGATATTAGGGGATCAAGGACAGCTTCTGTGAGATGGCATTTGAGCAGAAACAAATGAATACAAAGGATTCAGCTATGGAGAGTTGTAGGGAAAGAGTATCCAGGCAGAGGAACAAGCAAAGACAAAATCATCAGGGAAGAGGAAGCAAGCTGACGTGCGAGCATGAGGTATGGGGCTGGGCAGAACCCGAGAAGAGAGTGGGCATCGCTGAGGAGTTTGAAATATGGATGATTGATTATATGCGGTTATATTTTTAAGTTGCTTGCTGCTGTGTGGAAAATGGGTTGCAGGGATATGTGGAAACAGACAAAGAACACTCAAATGAGAACAAAAAAAGACTATTTATTCAGAGCTTGCTATAGCAAGGAAGTCAGCCACCATCACTTGCATTTGTCAGACTCAAAGGCAGGCAAGAGAGTGGGAATACTTTGTAGTGAGAAAAAGGGAAGGCTTCAGTTCTGCTCTGACCAGAAGCTGTTGGTGGGGAAGCTGCATGCAGGTGAACTAGAAGCAGGACATCCTATATGATTGGTTAGGGGAGCATATTTGGCCTCTCTGAGGTCCTCTGGAGCCCTGATGGCGCAGTGGTTAAGAGCTCTGCTGCTAACCAAAGGTCAGCAGTTTGAGTCCACCAGCCACTTACTGGAAATCCTATGGGGCAGTTCTACTTTTTCTACAGGGTTGCTATGAGTTGGAATTGACTCGACAGCAACAGGTTTGGTTGGTTGGTCCTGAGTTGCAAGTGGGGACAAAAAATGAGGAAGCTAGGGGTTATTAATCAGTCCTGGCCATTTTAGGCCCATTGATACAGGGATGGTTGTTTGACTTCCGGGGCTGGTTACTGCAAAGGTCATGGTTCTATTTTTATATATGGCCTGTCCATTGCTTGTTTGTTCATTCAGTGTCTCTTTCCCTATTTTGGTCATTCTTTCACTTGCAAGAAGTTGATCAATTTAAGGAAACTTAGGGATCCAGATCCTCACCACTCAGAGATTATTCAGTTGTCTTCATTGCAAGATCATCTTGACTGTTTTGTTCTTGTATCATTTGTATCATTATGGCAATTATCTGATGAGAGAACGACTGTGCATTTGTAACATAACTCTAACCATAAAAATCAGCATCAAGCAAGTTCCTATGAGGCAGAGCTCAAATATACCCTCATTCTCCAACTTCACCATTTCTGGCACCAACTGTTTGCCTCAAGGCACTCTTTCTCTATTGGGCTTGGAATGGTCACAGAGAACTCATGGAAACAACATAACTGCAATAACAACTTTAAAAACAGAAAAGGATATAAACAGAAATGAAGATATGCAAAGGATAAGGTTCGAGAGGGGTCCCAGCAGAGGGCCTCAGTGTCTAAAAAGAGACCCACTTATATCTCAGAAGAGATCTGCTTACTCTTCCTGAAAACCAGTGTTCATTCTCACCCATCAGGAAACTTTCAAACAGTAAACTAAATGATGTCACTTCGCAAGCTCTGCTATTGGTTGTTTCTCTCAGCTGTTGGGCAGGGTTTGGTCTTTATGCTCTGATGCCACAGTCTAGGTCTCCTCATTGTTTCCACTTCTTCTGTTACCGCTGAAGCCACTGCTTCCATCACTGTCACAGGTTTACTCAGTCTCGGAGGGTCCTAGTGCAGGGCCCTGAAAGGACGTGCTCCTCTCCTGGTTCTCATTGATCAGGAAGCCCCATCTGAGCTTCCATGTTCTAGAGTTTTTACTAGTCACTAGGCAAGCCCCCCAGCCAATCCATGTAAAGGTCAACTCCTGGGGGAAAGGGTCAGTCAATCCTTGTAAAGGTCAACCACAGGGTGGGCCTCCCCAGCCAATTCCAGTAAAAGTCAGTCTGGGCAGGCTCCCCAGCCAATCTGAGTAAAGGTTGGTTACCAAGCAGGGCCCTTAGCTAATCTGGGTAAAGGTCAACCTGGGCAGGGCTCAGAAACCAAGAATAAAAGGCCAGATTACTTTGGTTAAGCGCTCAGCTGCTGCAAACTGAAAGGTCAGCAGTTCGAACCACAGAAGAAAAGATCTGGCCTGGTAACCTGCTCATGTAAAGATCTACAGCCTAGGAAACCCTATGGGAAAGTTCTACTTTGTCCTGTAGGGTCACTATGAATCGGAATCAACTTGACAGCACACAACAACAACAAAAGGTAATCCACATGGCACAACATGTAAGATTCAGGATAGAATGCAAAAGACTAGCATTGTGACCGCTATGACAAAAACAAAAACAGTTAATAGTCCCCTGTAAGATACTCTGAAAGTTGCTCCTGAACATACAGTAGCTAAAGCAAAAGGAAGAAACGATGAAAAGAGCTGAACAGAAG